CCAGAGGCCAGGCAGGAGGCACAGGATTTGGCACTGTGTGTGGCTGGGGGGGTTGGAGGACAGTGGGGCGAGTGTGGGTGGGGGCTTAGAGGGGTGGGGACCTGAACTGTGTGTGGTTTGGGAAGGTGGATGAGGGGTGGTCAGTGGGGCCTCCTTCAGGGTGGTGCTCTCTGGGCCTGGAGCCCAAGGGTGGGGACGCGGTGAGGTAAGAGCCCAGAGTAATCAGGGCTGGAGAATCTCAGCAAAGCTGTTGTCCCTGACCGAGGAGTCCCCCAGCTTCCACTGAGTCAAGTCCTCTGGTGTGGCTTCGCCCGCCTGCAGCCGGACCGTCCGCATTGGCGAGGACATGAGGGAGGGGCCGGGGCCTGGAGATCTTGGTGCAGATTTCCTTTTCTCTGTGTCAGGATCCTGTGAGTGAGGGGTGTGGGAGGCGGGAGACAGAGACACACAGAGAGAAAGGCAGAGCGGGGCTGGATGATGGTGCAGCTATGAGCTGGGATACTGCCAGGCTGACCCACGGGAAGTTTCCAGGTTCAAGTCCAGAGACCCTTCTGAAAGTCGAGGGCTTGTGCGTCCGATGATCCAGGGCAGGTGGAGGCTGGGGTAGGACCGTGGTATCAGGACCCTGTTGAGGTATTATCTCTCTGTCTTGTCTCTCTTGCTCATAAAAGAAAGAAAGAAAGAAACTTAAAAAGAAAGAGACAGGGAGAGAGGATGAGATCACCTTGGAGTCAAACAAAACAGTCTCAGGAGGGCTGGGATGGGAGTGGTCAGAACTGCCCTCTGTGAAGCGGCTCATTAGCCCAACCCAGACAGAAGCTCGCAGGGGTAGTCAGTAAGATGTAGGGTCCCGGAAGCCAGACGTTTCTTAAACAGGCGGGAAAACCGAGGCACATGATGCACCTCGATACGTGTTAGGGAGTTAGGAATCACGATGATGATGAAAGATGCCCGCTTTAGAGCGAACCCCCCCACCCCACCCCAATGATGCTGTCTGATCTGGCCTGAAGCTGCAAACCAGGGAAGCGAACCGGGGCGTGGGGAAGGCAGAGGCGGCCACCGCACTTGGGCATGTGGGAGCGGCAGTGGCCAGTCCCCTGGCCCTCCATTTGGACACTGGGCATGCAACTCCTGGTCTCTGCCTCCAGGTTCCCCTGTGAGTCATGTGTGCAGACCCCTCCTTCTGGCTAGCAGCACAATGGTCTCAGCCTGGGAGCCCCCACGGGCAGGGCTCAGTCCTGCGTCACCACTGGCTCAGCCCAGTGTGCCTGGCCAACCCTGAGAGGGGTGAGCAGAGGTGCTGTCGCCACGTACGAGCTGGCCCGCAGAGCCTCTGCTTCCTCCCGGCCTGTCCACTGGACCTGGCTGGGGGAGGCTGATAGCTGAAATGCACGGCGCTGACACACACTCTTCTCAGTTCTTCTATTTATTTAATTTTTAAAATTGTACGCACATAGGGAGACAGAAAGGGAGGGAGGGAAGTTAGCCCACCCTAGTAACATCGCGCTCCCTTCTCCTCCGCGCCTCCCTCCTGGTGGGATTCTGGGCACACACGCACGAGCATCTGGCATGTTTTGCAAGCCACTGGATCTGGAACTCGAACAGACAGTTGGCCATGTGGGATCCAGCTGCCTTACCCACCATGCCACGGGCTGGTGCCCTTCTCAGTTCTTTACACTCACCGGCTCGTTCATTCTGGGAATTCGACATGCCCCTCTCCATTGCACAGAGAAAAGAGCAGGTGCAAGCTTTGCCCAGAGTCCCAGAGCTGGGAAGCGGAGGAGCCAGGATTTCTCCTGGAAGAGCTCGCCCCAACTCAGCACCTTTCATGGCCACACTTTGGGGTGCCTCTTCCCTCCTCCTCACAACTTGGTGGCCTGGCTGAGGGTGTATGGAATAATTAAACTTGGTTCCTTGCCTGAAGACCACGACAGCTTTCTGGGCCTGCCCCTCTCGTATCATCCTCACTCCTGCGTCCTTCCCTCTTGCCCATGTGCCACGACGTCCCTGTCCAGCCCGTCCTGTGATTTCTGCCAGGCCTGATATTCTCGTCCTTTCCTAGTGCCAGGCCTTTCCAGGTAGTTCCCCAACATGGACCCTCACAACCCCCACCCCCACCCTACTCACCCACCCCACAAACCCACATTCTGGATAGGGACTCCAGAGTTCCAGCAACTCTTCTCATTGGCTACGAAGCCAGCATCTGTAAGAACTGACCAGGCAGAAGTCTTCTTCTGGGCCATATGCCCGGGACCCTAGGTTGGTGCAAGCATTTCTGAGCATGAAGGTACGGTGAAAGGCTTGATGGGGAGTAGGAGAAAGAGAGAGAGAGACTCTGAGTCCAGGGGTCCAGGCATAAAAAGAAAGGGTCCCGAGGCAAGATGGAGTAGACACCACAGCAGCCAGCTCCATGCTCTGGCCTGTCCATCCAGGGTTGAGTTGCTGGAGTCTCTTTCTGGAGCAAAGATGTCACTCCCAGACGTCCAGTCATCTCTTAATACCTCTGCTTCCTCTGCCAGCCTGTGGGCCTCAGGAGCGGGCCTGGGCCCTGTTGTTTATTCTTGGCATTGCCCTTTGGTCTGGCCTTGGTCCACCCGGGGCCAGGTGAGATGGCCAGAGGGCGGATGTAACAGCCCTCACTTTGTCCTTGGTTGAAAAGTTTCCCTGACCCAGTTCTAGCAGCGCCTTGAGACCGAGGTTTGTCTCCAGGGAGGGGGTCATGGAGCTCCCCGGTCCCCTGTGGTGTTCCCTATAGGACGGAGGGAGGGACGGGACTCCGAGGTGCACACCAAGGTCAGGAGTCCAGCCGCCCCAGGTGCCACCAGGTGCTGGTGGGTGTGAAGACCTGGGCGTGCGTGTGTGCAAGGCAGGGCCGCTGCGGTACGTGCCGCCTCTGCAGCAACCCTGAGTGAGTGACAGAAGTGCTCAGGGTGAGATGCTCTGAAACAAGAGACTGCAACCCTGCCTGGCCAGGGAGAGGCAGGGGGAGCCCGCCGGGCTGCCCCTGGCTCTTCTGTGATGTCAATGAACAATAAAGCAAAGATCCATCTGCCCACCTGGGACCAGAGACCTGCTGGCCATATTGGCCCGGAGTTATCTGGACATCTTTAGCATACCTGGAGGATCTCCCTCTGTTAGTCCTGGGAAAACTCACCTGGGGGGTGGATGGCAGGGGTCTCTCTCCATAGGCTCCAGTCTGAAATGCTGCCTTTGTCTCTGGGTATGTGTGTTAATTACATTTGGGCTTGGTTATGAAACACTCAAATAATAGTGTGTTAAATAAGACATTTATTTCTCTCACATAAACAAAATCAGGTGGTACTTAGTCCAGGTTTGTTACGATGGCTCTGTGATCATTAGGGATCCAGGCTCTTTCCATTTTATTGTGCCACCAATCCACCAATCCCAAACATGGCCTCTACCTCAAGGTGCAATATGGCTGCCAGAGCTCCACCCATCATATCAGCATTAAAGCCAACTAGAGGAAGGAAGTGTAGAAGAGGGGGGTGCCTGCCGGCCTCCCGTTCCACAAGTCATATACCATAATTCACACAGGATATATCTTTGTATATCCTATTGGGTAGACTTATCATATAGCTGCACCTACCCTCAAGGGAGGATGAAAAAGTAGTCTTTAGTCTGAGTGATCATGTGGCAACTCAAAACCGGGGTGTTGGTACTGAGGAGGAAGAGTAAGCACATACCAGGGTATAACTAGGAGTCCTCGCCACAGTGTGTGACCTGGGTAGAGGGTTCCAGGTGCTGTGTGACTCCCGTAGGCTCTGGATGGCAGTCTCGCTGTGACGAGCAGAACTCCAGCTCCCTATCTGGGCCCTGCTTCCAGCTTCGGGACTTGGAGCTGTGGTGGTGGCAGGAGCACGCGCCACCTGGGGTCTCCAGCAGGGAGAGGATCAGCTTGATGATCAGGGCTAGCCACGCCATCCCAAAGAGGATCCACAGGGACACTGTGTTCTTGTACCACAGGGGGTACTTCCGGGAGGGTTTCATCCCTGGGGGAGAGGCCAGGTCAGAGGATGCAGGCCTGGGGAAGGCAGGACCACATTCCAAAATAGAAACAGTGATACATGGCTTGTGTGAGCAAATCGAGGCATCCTCAGGACAGAATCTGGGGAATCCAGACTAATCTGAGATTCCTGGCCTTGTCATCGCCCCCCTAGGGTTCTAGGAAGCTTCCCTGGATTGGCAGTTGGCTTTGGAAGCTACATTTCCTTTTATCTTCCTGAAAGAGTGTTGTTTATCTTCCATTCTGTTTTTTTTTTTCTTCTTCTTTTTTAAGAATGATTTATTATTATTATTTAACTTGCTGGGGTCATTGTAGAGAAACAGAGAGAGAGAGGGAGAGAGAGAGAGAGAGAGAAAAAATGTGAAAGCAAGCTGCCATGTCCAGGACTTGAACCATGGTCAGCCATGTGTGAGTCCAGAGACCCAATCACCACACCACCTGCTGGCCCCCACCCTGGTGGTTCTTAAAGGTAGGTCCTTGGCTCAGGTGCATCGGCACCACCTGAGAGCAAATGACAGGCCCCACTCCAGACCTGCTGCATCAGAGACTCCGAGGGCAGGCCCAGCGGCCTGTGCCACGAGCCCTCCAGGAGACTGTGGTGCTGGCGCTCCTGCTTCTCTGTCTCTGCTGGCTTTCTCCTGTCTGGAAGAAGGTAGCCTGCTGGAGCCAGAGGGTTCAGGAAGGAAGAGTTGAAGTGTCCTGGTGTGTTTCCTGTCTCAGTTCTTGGGAACTGCGTGACCTCTGTCACCTGAGATGGGGATATGTCGCCTGCTTGGCTTTTAGAACCCTAACCTCAGGGTGCCGTACCTACTTCCTTACCCCTTGGTCTGTCCACTTCTCCATCTCTCATCCTCCCTGCCTTGGGGCCTTGGTACCTGCTGCCCCCTTGGCTCCAATCCCAACTCCTCTCGGCCTGGCTAACCGCCCCTTCCCCTTCAGATCTCAGCTCCGTCCCCTCCCTACAGACCAGCTGCAGCCACGTCACACTCTCTCATGCCCGTGTGCTTCTGCTGGAAGACGGAGACCCCAGGCCCGTCTCCCCATGCCCATCATGATGGTCACGTGGGCTAACGCATCTGAAGTGCTCAGAGTGCTGGCCGGCACGGGCAGGTGCAACCTGAGGGAGCTCGTTCCTCCACAATTGGATGTCCCGGCACCACCGGTTTTGGGCAAGGGGCAGACAGCGCTTGCTGTGGGGCTCGTCAAGGGCCCGCCTATAACTTGGCCCTCTCCCTTGTCTGCTCCGGGGGTCTGTCTTGCTGGGATCATTGCGAGAGGGTGATCTGCTCTCGTGTTTCCTTGGCCTTATTGTTTCCCTGTACCACATCTCTGCCCACGCCCCAGCCTTCCCGCGGGCCCCAAGACAGACTCTTTGTCCTGTTCCCCCAGGGTTGGGCCCCTCTCTGGGACCCCAGCACTGGCTGAGGCTGCACCCCAGAAGCTGACCCCCACTGCCTGGCAGGAACTGGGATTAGATTAGGCCGATTGGGTTTTGGGGCCATGCTTCCGCTGAGGGTCCCAAATGAGATCAGCAGTGAGCCAGCTTTCTAGCCCTGCCACCCGCCAGCTCAGCTTGCTCCTGGCAACCGAGGGAGGAGGTGTTCTTCTTTCCTTTTATTTCATTGTTTTAGCTGAAATCATAAGTGGCAGGAGACTCGGCAGCTGGCAAGGCGCTCGACTAAGCTGCAAATGCAATTGGGGGATGCAAGGGTTATGGGGCTAGGGAGGGGCAGTGGCGGGGACCTGGGGCCGCTCTGGCCACAGCCTTTGGGCAAAGAGAAGAGTCTGTGATGACATCTTGGGGCTGCTGACATGGAGACAAAGGACACGCAGTGGCCAGGAGGTGGACCTTGGCTTGCCCATCCATGAAAGGGGTTGACCCTGTCCCTGAGAACTTTAGGAGAGGTGTGGAAGATTCTGGAACATGTGAGGAGCCCTGACTTGTCTGCTCTATGACTTAAGTCCTTTCTCTCCTCTGGACATCAGTTTCCCCATCTGTGTACGAAAGATTTCTTTTCTGGGTTGGGGGGGAGGGAGAGATTTTTGCTATAGGGCGTGTCTGCTCACCAGGAAGACAGGGAGAAACAGAGAGACAGAAAGCGAGAAATCACCCACCGGGGGGATGGCCACGCTGAAATCCCTTCTCCTCCTTTCTCCTCTCGGGGTCTTGGGCACGCATGCACACGTGCCCAGCGTGAGTTTAAGCCACCGGGTCCAGAACTCGAACCACGGTCAACTACATGGGAGTCCAGCGACATAGCCATTACACCATCTGCTGGTCCCTAAGGGAGATTCTTGCTGATGAAGCAGTCAAGGGCTCTCAGTATGCTCACTTGTCTGGGGCACTGAAATGGCCACAGAGGGACCCAGAGTGGTAGCACATCTCTGGAGAGGTGGCGCAGGGGGCATCTGTTCATTGCTGCAGCCACCAGGCACACATGTGCGGTCTGTCTAGGCAGCCCCTCTGGGCTTAAAGGGCCTTTGAAGGTTTTAGGCCAGGACTCCTCAGGGCATTTTGGAGGCCCATTCCCTAAATACCAGCCTCCTGCCTCCCTGCTGCTCCCACAGGGCCGCAAAGACCAGCCAGCCTATCTCACTTCTGCAGAGACTGGCTGAGCAGGTGTCAGCCATGGCCTGTCCATGGGGTTGACCAGTCTTTCCCTCCTGAGTGCCCCGGGCTAGAGAGGCTGTCTCCACTTCCCATTCCCCTGTCCTGCCTTAGGGGACTGCAGGGTCTTAGGTCATCTTCACTGAGAATCCCTTCGACTCCACATGGGTGTCCCTGGGCCAGCTTCCAGGAGGGCTGCTGCAGGACCTGCCGTGACAGTGGGTGAGGGGAGTATTTCATGGTGGCTTGAGTGCCACGTGGAAGGGACAGAGCTCAGAGTGGAGAGGTCATAGAGAGCCCTACAGGCCTACTTATGGATTTTAGATGATCCCAAGACTATGAGAAAACATGAAAGATTTGCAGAGGGCTGGGCAGGGGACATGATAGCACCCGTAACTTTTAAAGGTCACGAGAGTCCAGAGGGCGCAGGGGTGCCGCCCTCTTATTCTCTGTGTGAACGGCACCCCTTCAGGGCTGTGCAGTGCCCCATCTGTGCAGCTGTGTGCCCCAGGTCTGCCTGGACTAAGGAAGTGACAGTGGGGACGGAGAGGAGAGGACAGATCTCAGAATCTCAGAAGTAGCTGCTGAGCTCAGTCTCCCTCAGACACATTCCCCATTCTGAGGACAGAGGCGGGGTGTGAGCTGGCTGGAAGAAGCTTTCCCAGGGATTTCCTTCCAGAGCGAAGTGCTCCCAGGAAGGGGCAGACCAGGCAGGGTGCAGCACGATGTCCCAGACACTGGACCCCACTTCCTGGGGAAGGAGACGCACAGGGAAGGGGGCCTTGCACACAGAGGCCAGAAGGCACCCTGGGGTCTTAACTATCACTTAGGCCAGGTCCCTTGTTTTACAGACAGGGACACTGAGGCCAGAGAGGAGAGTCGTGAGGTTTCTTGAAAGAGTATGAATTTTGGGCCAGCAGGTGGACTTCTACCTGATCGACTGCGGTTCAAATCCTGGAGCTGGTGACTTTCCTTCTCTATCTCTGTACCCTATAGCAAAAAAAAAATTTTTTTGAGAGGTTTTTGCTATAGGGCATGTGTGCTCGCCAGAGAGACAGAGAGAGACAGAGAGACAGAAAGCGAGAAATCATTCCCCGGGGGGATGGCCACACCACAATCCCTTCTCCTCTGTTCTCCTCTCAGGATCTTGGGCACCCATGCGCACACATCTGGCGTGAGTTTAAGTCACTGGGTCCGGGACTTGAGCAGCCGTCAACTACATGGGAGTCCAGTGATGTAGCCATTATGCCATCTGTTGGTCCCCCCATAGCAAAGTTTTTTAAAAAGTTATAATAGAATTAAATAATTCCTTAAAAACAGTATGAATTTGAGAGTCAAACAAATCTGAGTTCACTGGCTCACTAGCTGTGCAAGCTCAGGGAAATGGCCTGGCCTCTCCGAGCTTCACCTCCGTCCTTGGGTAAACGGGGATGAAACCATCCTTCTAGGTTGCCTGATGAACTAGCTGCTGGTTCCTTTGGCAGAACCGCGTTTCTCGATTCCAGGCTGGGTTCTGTGGCTGAAAGGATGAAGAAGGGCAGGGCCCTGTCTCCACTCCAGGGTCACAGAGACGCCCTGTGCTCAGTGGTGTCAGGGGCCATTGCTCAGCTCGGGACCTTCAGAGGCCAGAGTGGGGTCCATGATGAGGCTGAGTTGGGGGTCCTCCACTGTCACCTGCTGGGAACGCCTCAACTGTATCCTGCAAGACCAGCGGCTCTTGGGGCCCTCGTCATGCTCATGGTGGGTGGTGACCACTGATTAAACCCCTCATTGGGCTCCCTGGATCATGAGGCCTTTCCCCAGAGTTTCCCCACAGCGCATGGGGGAAGCTGAGGTTTCATGAGTCTCCCAGCCTCTCCTGCCTGATCCCTTTCATGGGGCAGGGTGGAGTGGGGAGGGAAGACCTGGGGAAAGGACAGAGGGGGAAGGTCAGGGACTCCCCTTATCTGGAGAACTCTCAGAACGGTTAGCCCGCACACAATGAAGGTGAGCTGAACCTGCCAAGGACTGGTCCTCTGGGCTCGAGGCTCTGAGCACCCACGTGGGCTGGCTCCCAGCAGGTGCCCAGCAGGTGCCAGCTGGGAGCAGATGCATGGGAGGGGCGGCCTGGAAGCCTGGGGTTCTTACCAATCACGTAGTCCCCGAAGCCCACGGTGCTGAGGGTGATGAAGGCAAAGTAGAAGCCCTCCAAGTAGGTCCAGCCCTCCATGAGTGAGAAGAGCAGCGGCGGGAGCAGCAGGAAAAGCAGGAGGCCAGAGAGCAGGGCGCCGGAGCCTGCCAGCCACTTAGCCTTGGCAGGGTCCTGTGGGTGCACACAGCATCAGCCCCCAGTGGCCTCTGCGTGGTTGGAGGGAACAGCTGGGCTGGGGTGCTGGGCTAGGGCAGGCGAGTGCTCTGCCCTATAAGAAGGGCTGCCCAGGGCTCTCTCTACTTGGTGTGTCCCCCAGGTTCCATTCCTGGTGCCCTTTCGTTACTAGAGACCCTCAATTTGTGCAGTGACCAGCGCCCCCTCCCCACTGCTCCCCTCCTTCCCCGCCCCGCAATCCCACCACATCCCCATCAGTCACCTCTGCTCCCAGCCCTGGCCATCAGTGACCTCGAGTCCCCACAGTCCCTCATTCTAGAAGTGACTCCTGTCCCCCACTCAGCCCCCTCACCTGCCAGGTGCCCCCTAGCCTGCGGGCACAGCTGTGTACTCCCCGCTGCATGAGATGGCCCAGTCGGTTGAGCACCACGAGGTTGAGCGGGATCCCCACAAGAGCAAAGAAGATGCAGAAGAGGCGTGCAGGCATTGTGTGGGGGCTCAGGTTGCCATAGCCTGCAATAAGGGGGACACTTGAGGGCCTTTGCAGCCCAGCCCTGCCGTCCTGCACAGCCCTCCAGTGGGGTGGCTGCTATTTATCAAGGCCTTCCCTTCCCGTGTCGGGCACTAGGCATCCAGGCATCCCGATTCCCTTCCGAATCAGGATTGTGTCCCATGTTTTACAGACCGGAGCACCGGAGCTCCAGGAGGCTCAGCAGCATGCATGGGCTCAAGCCCAAGTGTGAGAGTCTCTCTTCTCTTCATCTCCCTCTGTGTGGGCTGAAGGATGTAGGAGAGGGGTGGGGGAGAGCCAGAGCTCCACTCTGCACCTGTGGGTGTGCTGCACCATTCAAGCTGAGGCCAGGCGTCTCCAGGCTGCTGCCAGCCATGGCTGGGCATGGTGGGGCACCAAGCTGGCTGCCTCTGCCCAGGGCGGGGGTCCTCTCATAGACACCTATTGCTCTGGCTCCTGTCATCTGCCGGAGGCATCCCAGACATTCCTCTCTCCGCTCACAGGCGCCAGCCTGCGTGCACTCTGAGACTTTCATCATCTTGCTTCTCGCTCAGCCTTCGCCGCTTTCCCCCCAGCCTATCTCCTGCACATCTAATTCTGCCTCAAATGGGGCAGGCAACGAGCCACCCTCTGACCCAGGGGAGGTGGGAGTTGGGACCTCTGGTCAAGAAGATATGGGCTGGGAGAGACTAGGGGAGGCCGAAATGTCCAGAAAAGAACTCAGTCGGCCACTCTTGGTCACCACCACGGTCTTGTCTTTCTAAAATGCAAACCTGGTTATGCCGTTACTCAGGTAATCTCCTTCCCTTTGTCCCCAGGCCTGCTGGGGAAAACGCCAAAGTCTCTGAGCCTCCTCGGGTGCCCTACTTTCCCAGCTATGGCCATGCTCCTGCCTCAGTGCTTTCAAACCTGATGCTCCCTCTCCCTCCACCAAGAGCGGGTTTCTGCTCTCTGCCATTCCCCCCTCTCCAGGACAGCCGTCTTCAGCCAGGGCTCCCCCACCACTCTGCTGAGAATCCCCCTCTGTGGGAGAATGATTATTTCCTAGTCTGCCTCCCTCAAGTATTGTGAGCCCTTCAAGAACGGGGACTAGGTCTAAATCATCCTCATAGGCTCAGCACCCGCACCCCTGGCACGTATGGGCACTCACCACCACGTGCGTGTTGAATGAGTGTAAGAATGAGTGTTGAATAAATGAATGAATGAGGACATGCAGAGGGACTGTGTAATTAAGTGAACAAATACCCGTGGCATTGCCTGACATCCCCCTGGACAGGGTCCGTGCACCCACACGCCCTGCGCTCACCTGCACTGTATCAAGCCTGAAGGTTTACAGGCACCCCCACCTTACTGAGGGGCCCTGAGAGAGGCCAGAGCATGTACACGTCCTGGGCTCCGGAGTCTGACGCCCTTCCTAGATTTGAATCTCAGCTCTACTCCTTGCAGGCCATGGGACCTCAGGCAAGCGTTCGACCTTTCCAGTCTCTGTTCCCTTATCTGTAAAACGGGGGTGTTGACGTCACCTACAATGTGGCCTGGGGATGAAATGAGGCAAGGGAGATGTGCTAGAGATGGGAATGAGCCCTGAGGTGTCCAGTTTATACAAGGTGATGTTTGTTGAATGAATGAATGAAATCCCTCTGAGCTGACTGCTATCTGAGGATTTGAAGCAACTTCCCTTCTGGGCTTTCTAGGTTTCCTTTTCTACAGGAGGCAATTCTTTTTCTGCATCTGGGGGAGAGGAAACCACTTGGTTTCCATTCTTCTTTCTGAAGCCTCCTCACAACCCCTCCTCTTCCAGCTGTGGGTCCCCCTGAAAACCCTGTTTACCCCCTCTATACACACTCACACGCACACGCACACGCACACACACACACATGTTGCTGGGGTTCTTTTCATTCAGTTCTCTCCAGTGGAAGGGTGGCACTCAGACTCAGCCCCAGGAGGGCTCCCATGGAGCCCCGTGGCTTTCTAAGTCCGGCATCGGCAGGGCTTTCTCCTCTTTCCGTTATCCCTCAGCTCAGCAGTCAGTGGGTGCCAGCGAAGCCCTCCCCTACCTGCTGACTGCTGGTGGCCACAGCCCCACCCGAGCTGCCACTCACTGCAGCCTGCCTCCTTGTGAGGAGCCCTGGCCCCCTCGAGGGCCTCTGTGATGGGGCTCCTCTGCACTCTCTGAACTCAGCCGTCCTGTCCAGCCCTCCCCAGCCACTCGCACCTCCGTTACAGGTTTCCTGAACTCACCGGTCCCACTGCCACCTCAGGACTGCGCACTTGCCGGCAGAGGTCTTCCCCGACGCTGGCATAGCCTGTCCCCTTACTCTGTTCATGTCCCTGCCTCACTGTTCCTGCAGCAGCGAGTCTTTCAGTGGCCGTCATATGGACAACAGCCCATTGCCCGTATACCACAAATGAGCCGGTGGGATGAGTTAGAGATGAGGGATCTTTCTGGACCTAGGCCTGTCTTCCTGGCCAGGGGTAGCCACGTGTCTTTTCAGACCCTGTTTGGGCTTAGGGTTTGTGAAGTAACAGCCCTTACAGGTGCTGGTTCCAGGGTAATGGGGTTGCCAAGGAGGCCGCCCTCCACCAAGGCTCTCAGTATACCTGTTCCTTCCTTCACAGTGTCTCCAGTACCCCCTCTCCCCTCACCTCCTCCTCTCCCTAAATTCCCCCTGGTGTGTCCCTGTGTGTGCGCACACATGTGTGTGATCGGAATCAGAAGCGTGAGCTCCCGCTGCTCACCCAAGGACGGCTACCTCCTGCCTCCTGTGGTGTGGGATGCCTCCCCTATTCCTCACTCCCCTTGTCCAACGGCAGGGACCGTGGAAGGGAGCAAGGCAGCCCTCCAGCTGCTTCAAATGCCAGTCCTGCTGCCCACTGGCTGTGTGACCGCCACCGGCTGACGTCTGGGGCCTCCGTTTCCTCACCTGTGACATGATAGTAGTAAGACCTCTCCCTGGAGGTTGCCGCGTGGACAACATGAGATTGCAAATGGAAGAGCGCCCTGCACAGAGCCTGGAATGGTGCCCGGGGGACCCTGGGTGTATGCCACAGTACTGGGGGGGGGCAAGGACCCCTTCCTCTGCCATTTTTACCCTCACACTGGCTGAGTCCGTTTTATGGCAGAAATGAGTGGAGAGGGAGGGGCAGGGGAATAGTCTCGTCTAGGACTGGGAGAGCTGGGGAGAGACAGGCTGCAAGACTCTGAGTTTGGTGGGCCAAAGTCACGGGCCTAAGGCCGAGGGTGTAAGGAGGTGTGGGGTTCACACTTTGGGGAGGCCTCATCCATGGCGATACTGTGCCTCAGTATCTGCCACCCTTGAACTCAGCACATACTGGCTGGTGCATGCTCAGTGGGCTTCGTTTACAAGGCAGCAGTTTCTGAGCATCTGTGGATGCTGGGCCTGGTACTAGACCTCGGGAATGGCACCTTGGCCAGGGGCTTGGAGTCTGCAGAGAGAGATGGGCCTGCCAAGCATGCTTGTTTCAAGGATCGCCCGAGTGCCCATGTAGCCAAGATCCACTTCCAAGAAGCACTGGCTGATTTAAAAGTAGTCGGAGCGTCCCCGGGCACTCTTGTGTGGGCCGGCTCTGAGGAGCACAGGAGCGGGTATACTGGTGTCTCTGGAGAGAAGCTCCTAGCTGGCCAGCGGCTCAGAAGTGGTTAGTGTGTCACCCGTGGTGTCAGCCTGCCACCTGGTGGTGAGCTCCATGTCACTCAGCGGCTAGAGCTGGGCGTCAGGGCCAATGGGATTTGCTTTACTTTCTGGGTTTCAGAGCTGCAGGGATCCAAGTGGCTCCTCCTCACAATGGCTCCCAGATACTCTGCTGGGACAAGTTCGGCCATGGCTGTCCTGGGACTAGCCCAGGTGTCCATGTGGGTGAGGAGGCCGGCAGTGGCAGACCTGGGGCCAGGACTGCGCTGAGGAGGGACACTGGCAGGGCAGTGTCTTTGACGGCAGGGAGATGAGTAGGATGGCTACGCACCCAGGGCTGAGAACAGGGGTTCAAAGGCTCCTTCTTGGGAGTGTTGCCTCTTCTTCCTTCCCAGCTTTCCCCTCACCTCCCCACCTGCCTCCCTCAGGGCCAGCACTGGGTGGGATACAGTGCCCAGAGACAGCTTTCCTGCTCCCTGGGAGACCCTCTGCATCCCCCAAAGCTGTGCGGGCAGAAGCCCCCTAGAACAGCACTCCTCCAGCCTGAACAGTGTTCCCAACCCCCTAGGGGTCTGGGTAAATGCGGAAACCAAGTCAGCGGGTCCGGGGTTGGGTGGTGGATGGGGGAAGCTTCTGCTCCCAGGTGGCCTCAGAGCTGCAGAGCCAGGCTGCTCTCAGAGCCTGAGACCCTGGGTGTCCGTCAGAAGGCAGGCGGGCCCTGCCCCTGGGGAGAGGCCACCTCAGCCCCATGTCCCTAGCGCCATTGGCCCTTACCGATCGTGGTGATGGTAGACACGGAGAAGAAGAAGGAGCCCACGAGCTCCCAGCGTCCCATGCTGGTGGTGTTGCCCAAGAGGCTGGCTCCATTCCTGTATGCTCGGACGATGTCCTGGAGGAGAGGCCGTAGTGACCACCAGCTCTGAGAGGTGCCGTGCCCCTGCACCCCAACACATGCAGCCCTCACAATCACTGTTCCATCCAGCCCAGTCGGCACCAACCAGGGGCTCCCCAGAAACACAGGCGGGGCCAGCTGCCTCCTCTCTCCTGCAGAGCCCAGGTCAGTGTGGGGTGAGTGACAGCACACTGTTCATTTTCTTCCCCTGCTCACGCCCCTTCTTGAAACACATACTGGGCTAGGTGTGCCATGTAGTGCTTTTAGGGAACCCGTGGAGGGAAGAGACGTGGCCTCAGCCCTTGGTGGGCCAGGGATGAACCTAATTAGCTCTCACGTGGGATGGTCAATGCCACGTTAGGCACTAAGGAGGCAGTGCAGCTGTGTGATCCATGACTTACTTAACTTCTCTGTGCCTCAGTTTCTCTATTTGCAAAACAGAATACTGTTGTGAGGGCTAGTGAGACATTATGCATAAAGACTTGGAACAGTACCTGTTAAAGGTTGGCATCTGCCATTCTCATAACAGGAATAAATGCTGCAGGGATATAGGGAGGGCAGGGGCTGAAGGCTTCATGGAGGAGGTGATATTTTGGCTGGGCTTTCCTTGAGGGTTAGACAGGATTGCTCCTACCGCAAGGGCATTAGGCACATGGGACAGCAGGAACAGAGGCTGGGAGATGAGACTGCCTGGGACCTAGAATAGGGAGACTGAAAAGTGACTGGGGGCAGGCTGGGCTTGGCTCTGCCATGCCAGGAACAGATCAGCAGGCCCATCCGAGGTCACTAAGCAAAGGAGAGGCAGGTCAGGTTTGTGCTCTGGGGAAGGTGGCAGCGTGGAAGAGTTGGCAGACTAGAAAGGAGAGGCTGCTGCAGAGGTGAATGTTGGAGAGGGCCTGGCTTGCATCCTGGGCCGGGTGACCCAGAGGAGATGGAGAGGAGACTAGGCCTCTGGCCCTATTATGTATGGGCGGCGAGGAGGCATTGTGGAGGATTGAGTGTGCGGATGCAGGGCCCATGGCAGGTGTAGAACAAGCGGAGGGCAGGGCTGGGAGGCTGAGGGGAACCGTTCACTCTTGGCCTCGAGGAATTTGAGAAGTTGCACAGACAAGTCTGGTACTCAGAGGGGAGGCATGGCTGGAAGCCACATCCTTCTCCTTCCTGGGAATGACTGAAGCCACAGGAGGGTTGAGGAAGGGACTGAGGTGGGAATGGGCCGGGATGGCGTGGAGGGGAGGCATGCAGAGATGAGAGCGGGCCTGGAACCCTGGGAAACACTCACATGTACAAGGTCATGCTGAAACAGCACTCAGAGTGGCTCGTGGCCCCAGCTGCGGGCTGTGTAGCCGCGTATTGGTATTTAACCTCTCGGAGGCTTAGTTCCCTCCCCTCTGAAATGGGTGTGATAACAGTAACCACCTGTGAGGGAGTGAGACAAGCCAGCAACACAGGTACAGCGCGAGGAACAGTGCTAGGAACAGCGTGTGGCATGCCATAAGAGTGCGCGGAAGCGTTTACTGTCGCTGTCCTCACCGCCAGTCATCCTCCCAGCCTGGGTTTGCAGCTCACACCTCTGCAGGGGACTGTAGGTACACAGCCTCAGCACCAGGACCTTGCACTCTGGGCCGCACTGTTCGCAGGTGGTCGTGACGGGAGTGTGCGGGGGTGCCCCATGTGAGGTCCCTAGCAGAGATAGGTCTTGCCCTCCCTAGCTCGACTGCTGAAACTCAGCCTAGTCCCAGGGTTCAGGACCCCCCTCTGATCCATGCTGCCGCTTCATTAACCCATTGACTTGTTGCTTTTCAGGCCTGGGCTAGGCTGTACACTTTGGGGCTCAGGGCTTGTGGTCATCAGCAAAGGAACCAGGGCAGGGATTTGGGGCCAGGGGGACTGGCTGACTAGTGCTTGGATGTGGAGACCAAGCCAGGCCCAGGGTGAAGGCATCTGCCCAGTGGAGGAGATGCCAGCCTGGCCTTGCCTCCTGGAAGTCTGAAGACCTCCATCTATCTGCCTCGCTCAGAAGAACCCTCCTCTGACTCCTCAGCTCTACTGGTTTCCCGCCCTGCACCCCCCCAGGCCTCTCTGCCCCCCCCTCCCAGGAC